GGCCCCGTGCCAGCCTTCATGCTGCAGCCCGGGAGCACCCGGGTGGGGTCGGGTCGAGCGCCCTGCTGAGCCTCGGGGTGTGCCCGTCGGCCGTGGTCACCAGATGGTAGTGGCGGCTCTCGTGACTGGGGCTGTCAGGCGGGCCCTACGAGGCGGCTGTTTTGAGTAAATGCCTCTCCAGACCTTCTGCAGGATGGGAGGTTGCAACGGACCCACTCTCTAGGGCTTTGCAAAGTGGCCGCTTGTCTGGCTCGTCCCTCGTGACCGTCCGTGTCTCCTATAGGAACTTCTGGGAGAGTCTCAGACCCCCAGGGGGATGCGGCCGCGGTCAGGTAGGAAGGAGATGGGCCGACGAAGGTAAAATAGCACAGCCGTGTAGACCGCGTCGGATCCGGTCCCCGAGCACACCTGTGGCGAGCGGCTCCCCCCGCTGGCAGACGGACAGCCCTCTGTGTTTTGCGTTTCTGTTCTGCTCTCCAGCGTCCATCTCCACAATGCCTTCCCCGTCCTGGTCTCCGATGTCCCATCCCGGCTCCCGTCAGCAACAGGCCGACCTTTGACGGCTAGGTCAAGACCAGCACGCCGGTTGGCTCCAGCCAGCCCTGGGGGCCGAGCGGGCGCCAGACCCCAGCTCTCGACCGGCAGTGCCCTCTGAGACCCAGCAAGCAAACATTTTAGACCCTGAGTGAATGAGATGCCAAAGGGCCGGAAAATACTTCCAAACTATGAAAAGCAACGTGTAGGCGAAGGGCAAGTGATTAAAATGTAAAGCGCAGGCCTCGTGTTCACGTCCTAGACGGTGCGGCCTGGACGTGACAGTCGGGCAGAGCTCCAGTGTTTGCGAGGACGCCAGTCCCAAGTGAGCTTGTCCTGAGCGCGCCCCAAGAATCCGAGGTGGATACCATGTGACTCAAAAACAGCAGCCGAATAAAATACTTCCAAGGCATCTCGAAGGGGCCAGGACTAAACATTTCCCCAGGCTGTCTATGGAAGTATTTGGGGCAGATGCCAAAACCCTCTGAGAATAATTTACGGAGAATGCACAAGTCCAGTGATGATTAACCCCACGGTGACAGAGGTCGCCTTGTTAAAAACGTGGAGCGGAGAGCCGACCGTAACCGGGGCCGTGGAAAAGCAGACCCCCGCCACCGCCAGAGGGCACGCTCACGACCGTGCATTGACTGAGGAAGTCCCAACTGGGTGCCAGGTCACAACGTCCCCCCAGGGGTAGAAATCAGACGCGTGGGGCCAGGTGAACACGTCCAGTGATACTACGGTTTGGGGATGGACCACAGATGATTAAACGTCCCTACTGCAGAGAGTAAGCGTGAACCCTCACACCTGCTCCTTTGACGTTTCTAATTCGTAATTACCTGACGTTGGAGAACGCGGTGAAAACTCCTCACTTCCGGCGCGCTGGACCACCGCCCCCCGATGGCTGTGATTCAGGGATCTGCACAAACGCTCCCTGACTTTCCTAGCCCAGAACTCTGCCCGATTGTCAGAGGTGTGCAGTTGACGTAGAAAGGGGTCATCAAGGACAAAACCACCTACTTAACACATGTGAGGAGAAGATCAACAAAACCAGAATCCAAAATAATAACCACATGGGCCCTAGGAAGGTTGACGTAGGCCTTCAAAAACCGTGTGCAGAAACTTTCCTTCTGTTTCACATTTTTCTCCTTTGGAACACCTGTAATTTTTGAGTAATAGCCAAAGTGTTAATTCGTTCACTGTCGACTGTTGGCTGAGGCCTCAAAGCACGAACGTGGTACGAAGCCTCGCTGCAGCGGAAGAAAAAGGTGCAGATAGAAATGTGCTAATTAAGCCTCCGAGAAAACCCAGCCCGCACCAGCATGGAATTTGGTGTTACACCAATGTCTGCGTTTCCTTTGGGTCTCACTTGGTTCCAGTTCCTGTGGATCGTATTCGCAAGTGATGAGTGAAGACGAGACGTAATGGGAACAGAAGGCAAAGTAGGTTCTTCAGAGGAATTGAGCCGATGAGTCACACTGCGGGTGCGAGCCACCTCGGGCTCAAAGCTCGCACCTCTGACCGACCCCCAGTGCTCTAGCAGCAGGTCAACGTTCACCGAGAAGGATCTGGGAAGCAGTAGGGAATCGGGGGTGGGGTTCCCTCTACTTTAATCCTTATCACCAGGAGTGTGTTTCAGTCAGAGTTCTGGGCTTGGTCAAAGGCGGCCTGCCCACAGGATGGGCTGAGGGAGGTCAGCGCTGGGAGTCAGACCGCGGATTGGTTCTCCACGTTTCTTTACAGCAGCGCTTTGGGTCCCTATCAGGGGCTGCTAGCTGCTGGGACCAGGTCTCAGGGCTCTGGTCAGGGGTTCACAGAACAAGGGAGACAGACCCAGGAATCCGGTGAGGTCCTCCAGGGAAACACCCGTTTCTACTCATTCTGGCACTGCTGACACCAGATGTATGGGTTTTCCATGCCAACAAATTCTTCACTTGTCAGTCGACGCCAGCTTGGAGTCGTATAAGTGACTTCAGTCTGGCTCTAACCACCCAGAGTTGGCACAGACCCCGAGGGCTCAGTCCCACAAGGTGTCCCTGCTTCTGGTGCCCCTCCCACAGCCCAGGGCCTCACCTGCATCCGACCAACCAGCTATAAATCAGGAGTTCCCAAGACCCCTTCTCTGGGTTCAGTAATGTGCTAGAACAGCTCACGGAACTCAGGAAACACCGAGATCTGTGTTTATTACAAAGGATATTTTAAAGGACACAGATGAAGAGGTGCATAGGGTGAGGTCTGAAGGACCTTGGAATTTGGGGTGCGCCACCCTCCCGGCACATGGATGCATTCTTGCACATCAACCCACAAACTCTCCAAACTCTGTTGTCTAGGGTTTCTATGAAGTTTCCACTATTTGGACGTGCTCCATTAAATCACTGCGGTGGGTGATACGCCCCTCCTCCAGCCCTCTCCTCTCCCCTCCCTGGAGGTCAGAGGTAAGGCTGGAAGTTCCCACCCTGTAGTCACGTGGTTGGCCCCGTGGTTGGCTTCCGTGGTGACCAGCCCCCATCCTCAACGGGCTTTCCAAGGGCCACCCCATTGACATAAATTCTGTGTGTGGGGGTGGGGGGATCAAAGAGGCTTGTCGTGAGCAACAAAAGAGCTGCTGCTGGGACCACAACCGAATACTGTGACAAAAGATGATTGTTATTCTCGCGACTTCGGAAATTGCAAGAGTTGGGAGGCTCTGACCAGGAGCCAGAGACAAAGACCGAAATGGATACTTCTCACCATATCATCATGTCACAGGTCCTCAGAAGAAAACTCCAAACGGGACTGAGGACAGGGTGGAGCCCCAGCCTGGGGCGACACAGATCTCCCTCCAAATCCTAGTTCTCCTCACAAACTCTCGGGCGACCGTGACCACCTTACCCCGTGTCCTTCAGCCTAAAAAGTAGCGGTCACAGTCGTAGGCCCTCGGTGTGCGCAGAGCCGGGCAGGAGAGCAGAGGAGAAATCCCAGAGTCTGACCGCCGCCCGCATTGCCTTGTACCACAAGTCCGGCGATGCTGCGGGACCAGCAGCGGGTTCTCCCCCAGAGTGTTGGCCTGGCCAGGCTTCCCCGGGCAGACACGGGAGGTGGGCCTGGGCCTCCGTCCTCCTGAGACATCTTTGCCCAAGGACAGCTCTCGCCCCTCCTTTTCTCCCCACGTGAGCACAAGGACCAGGATGCAAAAACATCCGGCCACATCCAGGAGGGCCTCGTCTTCTGGGACCCCGGGACCCCGGGACCCCGTGTGGGGGCTGCCCCCCAACCTCTCAGGCCCCGACGGTGAGGCTGGATGGGGAGCACCACAGTGACCACAGCAGCTCGGGGTGGCTCCCCATCCCAGCTCCCTCCCCCATCGGCCAGCAGCCACCAGCTCCCGCTGTACTGGGGTGGGCCCGCGGAGCCCGGGGTGCAGAAGCGGGAAGCCTGTGCCTCACAAACCGAGTGACACGGAACCCCCGTCCCCAACCTTGGGACAGGAGCTGGCTGGAGACGGCCCGGCCCACGCGGCCCCCGTGCCACCAGCCCCCTCCCTGGCCCACAGTCTCTTCCCCCGACTTCGCATCCTGGAGAAAACACAGCTCTTAGGGCCTTAGGGTTTTGGTTTCTCTGATTAATAGACTTATTTTTAGAGCAGCGTTAAGTTTACAGAAAAGTTGAATGGAAAGTACAGCCAGTTCCCTGCGCGCTCCCAGCCACCCCCCTGGACGGTTTCCCCTAACACTAAACTGATGTCAGTGCCATGCGTTTGTTGTAAGGGACAGACCAGCGCTGGCCCAGTGCCTCCGTTAGGCTCCCTCTGCCCTTGCGCTCACGGCAGACATACAGTGACACAGTGTCGGGCAAAAAAGTTTCGCAGCCCTGAATCCTCTGTGCTCGGCAGAGTCGGGCCTCCCTCGCTCCCCCAGCTCTTGGGATTTCATGTGAGCAAGAGAGGAAAGAGCCAGGCCGGGTAGGAACAACCAGCCCAGCGGAACTGTTTATAAGCCGTCTCCAGGGGCCCCAGCGTTCGCTCGTGTGGACGCCAGTCTTTCTCTGGGTTTCATCCCGCTGGAAGCTGCCTCTTCAGTTCCTGGCTTTCTTTCCCTTCCCTGTAAACCCAGAGCTGCCTCCTCTCCTACTGCCCCTGTATGTCCACTGCCTTCTGGAAGGCCGGCCTGCGCCAGCTTTAATGGGCATCTGAAGTGCGGCCGGAGGGCGCCTGGCTGGCTCAGTGGATAGAGCCTGTGGCCCTTGTGGTCTCTTGACCTCTGGGCAGAGTTCAAGCCCCACGGTGGGTGGTGGGCGTGGAGCCTACAGGGTCTCCAGCTTCCTCCCCCGGATTTCCAGGCGTCCCCACACCTGCGGCAGGAATATTCCAGCCTGCCTCACCCCTGCTCTGGGCAGCCCAGCCCCTCCCTCTGCTGCGTCCGAAACCATCAGAGGCCACGAAATCGGGGGTGTATTCTGATGCCCGTGTCTGCTCTGTCCCGGGACAGGTGCTGGCCTCGACGGGGTAGAGGAGATCAAGCGGAACCCCTTCTTCATGACCGTAGACTGGAATGTAAGTTGCGCACGGCGGTCCCCGCCTCTCACGACGACGACGGGGAGCGAGGGGGCGGGCACACCAGCCGGGTACAAACCAGAGGTGAACGCGGCCATGTCACCTGGAGGAGGGTGACACCTCTCTCCGGAGCCTATGAACAGGCTGGCATTTTACAGGCACAGACCAGGGACCACCCGTCCCCGCAGCACCAGGCCCGAAATCCCTTTATCGCTTGGCCCTTTAGAGGCAGGTTCAGATGACCCTGCAGCCACTGCTACGCACTGAGGACAGAGTGGAGATCACCGTCCATCCGGCAAGGGGCTGCAGGAGCTCCTCAGGTCACTTGGTCACTGGGCCTCTGTCCCTGGGCCCCTGGGCCACTGTGGGTCTCCAGGCCGCTGGGCCGTGGGCAGTGGCCCACTGTGCAGGCCTCTTTGGTGCTGAACCACTGGCATCTCAGATTCTGTGTTGCTTTTCCAGTCTCTTTTCAGGCCCAGGCCCCCACAGCTAGCACTCTTACAGAGTTATTAAAGAAAAAATGTATCATCCAGACCGTTAAAGACAAAATCACGGCTGACACTTGTTAGCGACCCAAGGAAGACTTACCATCGTGGTGCATTTAGGGACCACTGGGCCGGGGTCTGCAGTCGGGAGAGAGCTGGGGCTCAGCCCGGCCGAGCTTGGGCCAGTGGGGTTCATAGCCAGGGGACTGGCCGGGTGCCGATGGAAAACCACTGAGAGGAAACACCAGGGCTGAGGGGCTCTTGTGCTGGACGCCAGGCCGGGTGATGAGACAGACATCACCTGGTCGGGGGAGGAGACCCCGTCAGAAGTCAGCCTCTGGCTCCAGCTCCCCAAGCCAGGGCCACAAAGCCGCGTGGAGCCAGACGCTGGCTCCGGGGCTCCGGAATCTCATTCCACCAGCCGCTCGGAGCCGTTTCCAGACCCTCAGCTCGGGGCTGGTTCATCTCAACAGCCGCCCTGTGCTTTGTGTGCATGGAAGACGTCCCTCCTCTGATGTCTGTTTCTTTCGGTCCTTCCCTTTAGGTGAACACAGCTGTTACATTTGGAGATCTTAACAGAGTGTAAAAAAAGAGTTAATGTCCTCTCTAGCACAGGGCTATTATTACGCGTGTTTGCCCTTCCCTCTGTCTTCCTCGCGTCCCCACGGAGCATGGTGCCCCAGCCGCTTCCGGCCAGGAGTGGCTCGGCGGCCCCCAGCCCCCGGTGCTGCCCCTGATGGAACCCCTGCTCTCCGAGCTTCTGACCCTCCTCCCCTCTCCTCCTCTTTTGGAGAAAGTCAAGCTGGGAGAACGTGAGATTCTTTAATACCCCCGTCTACGCTTCTGACTATGCAGCTTTTACGAGATCAAGTTTCTTTCCAACGGTGACACTGGAGAGAAGCGTGTGAGATGCTGGCACACGTCACCTCCCCTCCGGGGACACAAGCCTGGCTCAAGGGCCAAACCGACAGCAGGTTGAGTTCAGAAAAATGGGAAGTGGAAGCGGGACATCAGAGCCACTGCCTGCGCGTGAAACGTCTTTTTACTTAGCTTTCCGGAGATGCAGGCTCACACGGAGGTCCAGTCATCTCCAGCTCACGGGCACCTGAAGGTCCTTTTCAGCCGATTGTTTTCGAGTTCCGTACAGCACGGAGGCTCTGCTGTGTGGGGTGATGGGGTCTCAGGCCTCCCGAGTGCCGGCACGGCACCACACACGAGAGCCTCAGAAGCTGAGCCCTGGGGACGTGCCCCCCTGGCACCCCGCGAGGACGCGCTCTGGGGCCAAGGGGGGGTTGCTCTGCTGGGTCCCGTCCCCTCCCACCCACGCAGCCCAGAGTAGAGCCACACACCCCCTTCTGTTGTCACTCACTGTTCCATCGACTCAGCCTGCTGTTGGGCATGTTGGAGACACCTCCAGGACCTGGGGACAGAGCGGTGGCCGGGATGGGCAAGTCCTACACGCTGGGCTGGGAGAGAGAGGCAGTAAGCAAAGGGTGTGAAAAGAGCGAGCAGGGGAGCCGAGACCCCCCCCGTCCCTCCCGCCCCCCTCGCCCCCCTCTCTGCGCACCTGTCTGCCGCCCAGCACCCCCGCCCCCGGGGGCCCCCTGTGTCTCAGTTATGTCCTCCTCATGTCTTCTCCTAAAAGCCAGTTTCTTGGGGGCACATGGGTGGCTCAGTTAAGCATCTGACTCTGGATCTCAGCTCAGGTCTTGATCTCAGGGTCATGAGTTCAAGCCCCACATTGGGCTCCGCGCAGGACGTGAAGACTACCAAAAAAAAAAAAAAAAAAAAAAAAGCCAGCTTCTCGCTGAAGTCTCCCTGGGGGCCCTTCCAAACCTGCAGCTCCCCGCCCAGCGCCCCGACTCCCCTGCTGCTTTTCCTCCCGCTTATCACCTTCCAAAGCACTGGGTCACGGCCCTTATTTATGTCGATCGTCCTTGTCCGTCCCCTGCCGCTGGGTATACCCTCCCCGAGGTGAGGATTCGCTGTCAGTGTTGTTAGACGTGTCTCCCACACCTCTGAGACGCACCTGGTTCAGAGGACACACTTGGTAAATACTGAGCGAGCGAGGGAACGAGAGAGGCTCTCGGGGCAGAGGAACCCACTTCTCGCCCGCTCTCTGGGGCACCGCAGCCCCCCCGCCCCCACCGGCACAGCCAAGAACACAGAGGAGAAGGAGATTGCTGGGGCGTCGGCTGGGACGACCAGGAGGGACCGGGCACCATTCAGCACAGCTCTGCCCAGGAGGACCTGTCGGCAAGAACTACGGACGGACGCTCATCTCGGCCAAGGAGGGAGCCCCCCGAAGAGCAGGCCTGCGGAGGGGGGACCAAGAGAACTTCTTCACAGCACGACGGCCTTGAACCCCACGCCAGTCGGCTCTGCATCCCAGGGGCCCGCGCCAGCTCTGAGCAGCGGCCCGGCCTGTGTCTGCAGCGTTAGGAAGGCGAGGGTCCCGCGGGAGACCAGCTCCAGTGCACCCAGCACCGCTGTGCCGGCCAGGGGACGGGGGCGGGGGTCCCTGCCCGGACACACATGGTCACTTGGAATCTTGCACCAGGAAGGTGGCAGTCTGCATTATTTCAAAGTAATCGGACTAAAACTGAGGTTGGGAAGCCTCTCCTGTTGCTTTTGGCATTTGATTCCGTTGTGTCTCTGAGAGAGGCCCTTCAGATTCACGGGGACTGAGCATATCTACCCTCACTTCAGTATTTGCCCGCAGAAGACGAGGCAGGGACGGAGAGGGAGGGAAGGCTCTCATTCCCTCTCCAGCCCTGGATGAAAGCAGCCGGTGCCTGGTTAAGGGAGCTCTGAAGAGCCACTTCTGTGCAAGTTCACTTATTCCACAAGCAGCGCTGGGTGCCGGCCCGTGTCCCGGTGAGCAGGGCGTCCGTGGTCCAGCAGTTGTAAGACGCAGCTGTCCTCAAGTTGCTTGACATCTGACCGCTGCACGTAGACGAGAGATCCCCGTCGCCACTCTCCACCCGTCCTCTCCTCCCTGCGCGCCAGTGAGCCGCGGTGTCGCGAAGACCAGCCCCGGCCGTCGGTCACACACCGGGCACGCCGCGGACCCATCGGGAAAGCAGACGTGAAAATGTCCGACCTTGACGGGTGTCCGGACGTGTGCCTCCTGCCACAGCAGCCTGGACAACTCCGGGCCACAGCAGAGGAGCCTCTGCAAAAGCCGTTACTTCCAGGAGGCCTCCCCTCTGCCCGGCAGGTGCTCAGGACGACAACGAGAAGCCATTTCCTCAACCGTCTGGTTTCTGCCCGGGTGTGCGAGCCCAGCGCCGGCCTCGGGACCCGACCCGGAAAATATAAACTTTCTTATTTCGCTCTCTGCTTCCCTCTGTGACCCAAAGCTGCCAGCAGAAATTTTCGGGTGACCTGTTGGTGCGGAATAAGTCCGTTCCCAGTGGATGTGGGGGTCACATCCCCCGGTTTGCCCTGCTCTGCCATTAACTCGGCTGCACAGCCGAGCAAATAAAACCGCCTGGGAGCAGATCTTCCCGAAAGAGGCTGGTTCAGCAGCCGAATGAAAACTTGCGGTTACAGCCCGAGGCCTCGGCAGGGGGGTCCGGGGGAGCCCCGCACATAGTCTGCGTTTATTTGCCCCTGATGCTGCGGGAAAGTTCATCACCGCGGCCCACGGGACCCCCACCCCCAGCCCAGCCCGGGGGCCCCTCGCCGTGGGAAAGATGCTTGCCTCGACCACAGGCACCACGGACCGACCCCTGCTGACCACCTTGCTGCTTCCTGGCCGGGGCTGGGACCTTCACTGTAGCCGTTCAGCACCCGTTATCGTGAGGAACTCATGCCTGTGTTCTTTTTATACTTCTGAACCCTTCCGAGGGTAGCAGGTGTTGTCATTCTGTGAGGTGGGAGGGACTCCTGCGGGAAACTGAGGCACAGGGCAGTGAGAAGACAGCCCGAGGTCAGCACCTGCGAGAGCCCCCCGACCTTGCCGGTCGTGCGTGCCAACAGGAGCGGAGAAAGGACTTCTTGCCCCCAAGAGTGGATTTTAGGGGTTCGGGTCCCGGGAGCAGCGGGCTGCTGGCCAGTCTCAGTGCCTGTGTCAGAGTGTGAGGCAACTTCTGTCTGTCTGTTCCCACATTAAATACTGGGCTTCTTCGTTCAAGGAGCCCGACAGGACTCTGTTCAAGGAACGACCGCCCCTCGGTTCAGCAGTCTTGTAAATCCAGATACTTTGGTTGGAACCGCTTGCGGTGAGGGTAACCCATATAGACGGAGTCCCATCAGATCCCCCCTCCCTGGGTGCTCGGAGGCTGTTTGAATTCTGTTGCTCTGGCCAGGCTTACGGCGAGGGTAGCCCGTGTAGACAGAGTCCCATCAGATCCTCCCTCCGCTTCCCCGGGTGCTCGGAAGCCGTTGGAATTTTCTGTTACTCCGGCCAGGCTGCCACCACTCTGCGTCTCTGCATTATTTCTGCGTCGCTATTTCGGGAACGATCTATAGCTGTGCCCTTTCCTACTGGAGAGTGTTAATTTTGAAATGCCTGGAGCCAAAACTGCCTACAGAAGCAGATGTTAGGTCCGTGACCCCAAGCTCACCTCAGCCTCCTATTCCATTATCCAGTTAGCATTTTGCCTGTGCTCCCTCTGTTCTGCCCTCTGTCATCTGAAGGTCTCTTAGGTATAAATAGCCGTGCTGCACCTGCTCAGAGCTTCCTGGCACATCCTGGCTCGATGCGAAATCCGTTCCAATGTGGCTGTGACTTGTGTCCGCCTGAGATCCTGGGACGAGCCAGATGATTTGAAGTGATGCCTGGCGAATTGATCATGAGACCCCATTCTCTTTCCGGCAGTGTGGGATGGATCGTTCTGGATGCTCAGAGAGGGGAATCTAGGTCAGAATTCTAATGCCTGTCGTCAAGCTCAAAACCTACACAAAATGCTGCTGCCATTTCGTTCTCGAATTAACCCTGTGCGCCACAGTTTACGCTGCAAAATGAGAAGCGAGATTACTTTTTCGCTAAAACCTCAAACCCGCTCCTAGGTTTGCACACAGGGAAAGAAAAGCATGTGTAATAATAACACACACTAGCACGTTCCAGAAGTTTATCCAGCAACGGGAAGAAACTGACCGACTTTCACCACCGCAGCAAGCATAGGGGAGCCACGCACAGGGCGGAGGGCACCTGGCCACCCTGTCCAGCCCTCTGCTACCTGCTTGGAACCAGGATGAGACCACAGCACCCTCGGGGCACCGCAGGGTGGTGTTCCCGGCCGCCCTTGGACAGGCTGTGCTCATAGGCCTAACAAGAACAGGGACTGGTGTTCGGGGGTGCTGTGGAGTCTGCACGGGGATTCCCGCCCCACCGTGATGCCCCCACCGGCCGGCAAGCCTTCAGCGGACCCTCTCGCACGCCCTCTCCTCCCGTCAGCTAGGAATCCTTCGGGAAGCACGGGCTTACAGAGGAGGTTCAGAAACACGAGGAAAAGCAGACGTGCACATGCATGAGTGAAGCCGGAGTTTTTACGTGCTGTAAACGCACTGTGATGGCTGGGCTCTGTGCCGGGTTCAGAGGACATGCACCGGGCTGGGAAGGAGGGCACTGAGACTCTGCAGCAGGGGAAGCCAGCGGGTACCACGTCCTCTGCTAGGTTACAGGGGTCATCCTGATGAATTCCTTTTCCTTGCGGTAAAGACCTGGAAAGTGGGAAGCTGTGCCTCCCCCAGAGGTCGGCCTCCCGGCCAGGACTGCTGTGCCATTCTCGGGGGGCTGTCTCAGTGGGAGACCAGGGTAGAACACGTGGCCCCGGGAGTCAGCTTGGTCACAGGAGGCACCTGTGCTTTCTCGGGTTTTCCTCCGTGGGAGGCGGGTTGACAACCAGAGTTGGGCAGGTTTCTGCACGGAGGGGAAGGGGCTGGGACTGTGCCAGTCACCTCGGCATCCCAGCCGGCTTCTCATCAAAGTGCGGTTCTGTGGCTGGTGGCCGGGTGGGAAGCGAGGCTGCGGGGTGTCCCAAGCAGGGCGTCACGGTCCCCACCACGAGGTGCACACACAGGCACAGTCGTGGCCGCCGATGCCTCCGGGAGCTGCCCAATAACCATCAGGGAGCAGAAGCGCTTCGGCTCCAAAGTGCTGGGTTCGGGGGACTGTTTAATCCGCAGCCGTGAAGCTGGGGGCAGGCACTGGCTTCCAGCTTCCAGGGGACCCCGTGCTGGTGGAGCTGGGGTTAGAAGAGGAGCTGAAGGTCACCTTCAGCTGCAGGTGTAACGCCTCCCCTTTGGATTAAGTGACAGCCAGTTCTGTGTGCGTGTAAATAAATCCCCCTGTTAACAAAAGCAGGAGCCCCCGGCTCGCGGAGATTCCTCTCTCCCTCTCTTCCCCCACCCCCACCTCCCCACGTAGCAAGAGAAGACACGGATGCCGAGGGAGAGGATGTGCGTTTTCCTGGAGCAGGACAGATACCAATTTAATCACCCAGCTCGAACATCGCAGGACGATCGCTGGTGCGAGGAGAGAGGGTCTGAGCCCCGCAGGGCTGCGCTGGGCCATCGGTCTTGGTGACGGCCGGCATGTTAATCAGGGTGCACAGCTCGCTTCTCCCTATTAGATTTCCTCTGACAAGTGCATACATCAGGGAAGTTTATTCCCATCCCGGAATGCGTCACCGCCGAAAGGAGCATCTTTCTATTTACGGAAAGAGTTCAAGGAGTAAATCAATCCCTAATGAAATCTATTCACCCAGGGCAGGAAACGACCAGCGAATGCAGGGCGGAGTTAACACATTCTTTCTCGCCGGGTGACTCCCGAGTGCACACCCTGAGCGCCGTCCTGTGCACGCCACGGCCCCTGCTGCTCCTTAAGCAGCGGAGCCCGGTGGCCGTCGGTCAGTGCCAGCCTCCGGGGCCCCTTCACCCGGACACAGCTCCCATTCTGCCAGCCGCACCCGCACTTCCCGCGGCCACAGGGGCCTCTGCAAGGGTGTGCTCCGGGCAGGGACCAGGACGTCGTGCCCTGCTGCCACCTGCTGGACCCTCCCCCGCCGTGAGCGCTGCTGTAACAGGAAGAGTCGGGATGCCTGACCCTCCTCCCGGCCGGCCCTTCGTCACTCCCGACCTTGCACAGCTCAGCCCACCTGTCTTAGCCTGGGTTTCCTCACCTGTAAAACCAGGAGAGGAAATCTGCTCTTCTGTGTTATATTGAGAGACTTAGAGCAGATCTGGACGGGAGTCACTGCAGACGTTTTCCGAGCCGTCAGGATCCCTGGCTTCAGAGCTGAGCTCCAGACTTACTGAAACAAAGGCACCGAGAAAGGGCCCGGGGGCACTCCTGTGATCAGGCGAAACTAGGGAAACTCAGAGGGCTGCAGCCAGACCCGCGTCCCGGTATCCAAGCCCCTCAGCCAAGGTGCCAACCCGCCAGGCGCTCAGCACCCTGGCCAGAGCCACTACTGTGCGCCCAGAACTTCCACGACCTGAAATCCACCCCGGTGGCGCCCCCTCAGCCTCCACCAGGACTGGCAGCACCGAGGCCCCCACACCTCTGCAGCCCACAGCCCACCTCCCCGACCCACGGAGCCCAGCCTCGCCCCCCTGCCCACATTCCCTCTTCCCCATCTGCAGCTTTATCCGCCTCATTACCGGGGCCCGATTCCAAACTGTGTTGTCCCTTAAATTGAATCTCCCCAAAAGCATGAACTGCCGCCCTGCCTGAGAGCATTGAGAACACCACAGTCAGGTTTGGAAGGCGTTTTCAAATTTCCACTAAGACCGGAGCACTGAGGGGCGTGGGTTTTCCGGGCATCCTGTCACAGCTCAGGCTCCGTGACGCAAGTTCGGGGCCTCCCGACGTGGCCATTCTCGAGAAGGGCTGACTCACCATCGAGTCAGGTGTCGTGCTGGGCCCGTCGGAGGGCACAGGCGTGTGTAGAAGGGGCACTGAAGCAGCTGCTCGAGCAGAGGGGTCCGGACCCCCAAATCGGGGACGCCAGAGCGGGTGCCCAGGGCACGTGCCCCAGCCCCCGCGCCCAGGCTCGGTTCCCTTCTAGCTGGGGGCTTTCACAGCGTCCCCCAGGGGTGGCCTCGGGGTCGCCGGGGCAGAGAGGAGGGCACCCAGCAGCAGGTACTGCTGTCACCCAGGGTGGGGCAGCGTGGGGCCGTCCTGCCAGATTTTACTAGAAGAAAAAAATTCTACTGCCCCCCAAAAAGGTTTAAAACGTCACGTTGCCCTAAATGGAGAATACTTTGCACGTGTCCAGACCCTCATGCCTTTGGTTATGACTTTTATAGAATACATTCCGTTGTGTTCTGCGTCCTATGTAACGTACGTGCATATTTTACGCATATTCGTATATACGTCAGAGTATCCAGAGGTGCCATCCGCAGGTGGAAACTGGGGCCGTGTGCGCGAAGTGTGTCCCCCGCCCCGGCGGCAGGCCGCGCTATTCCACGGCATTCTCTGGTGTTGTCGGTGGCTCCTCACGGCTCTGTCTTGCCTTCCCTGCAGAAGCTGTACCGGAAGGAGATCAAGCCGCCATTCAAGCCAGCGGTGGGCAGGCCCGAGGACACCTTCCACTTCGACCCCGAGTTCACAGCACGGACGCCCACAGGTGTGTCCCAGCAGCGACCCAGCGCTCTGTCTGGTCGTGGGTCCTCCCCCCACCCCCACCCCCACCCCCCCCGACCGGTGAGGGGGTAGCTATCCAGGAACCAGAGAGTCTCTCGTGCGGTGCTTTCTGGAGGGTAATTGTCGGTTCTGTCTGACTTGTTTCGTCTGCTCCGCCATCAAGGTTCAAGTGGTGGAACCGATTCTCGGTCGTCGCCCAGGTAGCATGTGGTTTGGGAATCGTCCAGGTGTCCTGTAGGTCCCCCCCTTCCCCGCTGCCAGTTCAGGGACCACTTCTTTCAGGCAAGAAGGGAACGTCGAGACAGTGACAGTCTCCATTCAGCTAGAGGGTCTTGTGGGGAGAGGAGGGCCGAGGGTGAAGTCCACAGCTGTGGGAACTGTAGCCCTGACGCATGCCAGCAGCCGACACTGTCCGCAGAGCCTTACCAGCTACCGGGTCTCGGCACAGCAGACGGACACGGAGCCTTGGCTTTCGGGATCTGTCAACAATCCCTCTTAAGGGCTGTCGAACTCCGTCAGTCCAAAGTCATCAGTTTGTGACATTCATGAGTCAGTATCAGGGGATTGTTTTTGAGATCTGGGAATGGTCTCAGTCTGCGTGGACCACATGACACACAGCTGGCCTGGGCGCCCTAAACAACAGACATCTACTTTGGTTCCCGGTAGGGTCTCCTTTCCCGACTTGCAGACAGCCACCTTCCCTCCATGTCCTCACGGGGCCTCACTCGGTGCTGTCTCTCCCTCTTCTTAGAAGGACAGCAGTGCCGTTGGGTCAGGTCCCATGGCCTCGTTGAACTTTACTTACCTCCCCCAAAGACCCCGTCTTCAAAGACAGGCACATAGAGGGTGAGGGCTTCAAACTCTGAATTTGGGGGGACGCAGTCCAGGCCATACAGTAATGGTATGTTGTGTAATGGTGTTATGTAAACTAAAGAGGCGAACCCCCCTCGTAGAGGGATGGGGGGACCACGTTCAGGGAGCTGGTGGATACGGGGCTACATACGGTGTATTATGGGGGTTCTTTGCTCGCTGACTTGAAATCCGAAATTTTGCATGACTTTAAAGGTGGTTATGAAAGGCACAGCCAACTACCAAACACTAAGTGGAGAACTTGGAGCAGAGAATCCACTTTGTTCCCTTTGGTTTAGGCTCCTGGTGCTAGGAAGTAAATTCGCCCGGTGCTAGACTAGAGAAGCTTAATTAAAACCCAGAAGGCTCAGCCGAGTAGTTTTTAGAATCTGAAGATTATGTTCTGCGAGAAGCAGTGCCTCCTGAACGCTGCAGTGTTGCCCCGGCGGGCGCCGAGCTGTTCTAGACCCCGGGCCCCTGCACAGAATGACGGCTTTGAGGTCTGCTTTCCCTTAGAAACCTCCCAGGCTACCGCCAGCTGCTCTGAAGGTCCCCACCGAGCACAACGGATCCAGCACCATTAAGCAGTCTTCGACCCCCAGGGTGCTTGGCATCCTTCCTTGGCGCTTTAGATTTAAGAATTTGAGCTCATCCCAGAGAATTCGCCAGAGCCCTGCAAATGGCGAGGGTGAAGCGTACCTCAGGAGGCTCCTTCACAGCCTCTGAGGAGTGTGTGTGCTTTGGGGGAGGTACGGCCCTATTAACTTGGACAGATGCACTTGCATTAGTGAGTGGAGAATTCGTAGATCGCAGAAGCAGTGTCTCTGAATGAAGGAAGGGGCGCGGAGGCCATCAGCTGAAGTCCAGGCGGGTCCTTATGAAGGTTGCCTCGGCCGGCATTTGGCTGGTGTGGCTGCCGTCCCCACGTGGGAGGTGGCATAAATAGAGCGTAACAGGCTTTAAGATCATCGAGGGGCGGGGCGCCTGGGTGGCGCAGTCGGTTGGGCGTCCGACTTCAGCCAGGTCACGATCTCGCGGTCCGTGAGTTCGAGCCCCGCGTCGGGCTCTGGGCTGATGGCTCAGAGCCTGGAGCCTGTTTCCCATTCTGTTTCTCCCTCTCTCTCTGCCCCTCACCCGTTCATGCTCTGTCTCTCTCTGTCCCAAAAATAAATAAACGTTGGAAAAAAAAAAAAAATTAAAAAAAAAAAAAAAGATCATCGAGGGGATGCTGATTTTCGGCACGGTGCTTAAAAAGCAAACACGAGAGTTGGATAAGACAGAATTTTCAACTAACTGATTGAAACTGAGGACTTTGGAAACTTTGATGATCCATGACTCGTTTCTGACTACTTTGTCTGATGGGTTTTCAAATCTTAGCCCGGCATCTCCCACCAGCCAGCAGCCTCCAGTGGCCAAAGGAGATATAAACTAGCTTTAGTATTGGTTTAAGTTTAGGGGAAAAGATGCTGTAAGCCTTTCAGAGGACATTCCCACTGCGCATCCAGAAACCTTACGTACAGGATGTGGATTATGCACTGTTTCAGAATCACATTGGTATAGCTGCCCTTTAACACAGCCATGCTCTCGGCTCGTGTGCTTAGAAAATCCTATCCTCTTATTAATATATACATATAGAGAGAATGACTTTTCCGTCTCTCAACACTTCATTTAGTCCCTCGCACAAAGGCCAACTGTGTGATGTCATTAAATTAAGTAAAAGTGACTGGGGAACTCCAGCTAGGAAGCTCCCTCTGGAAGGTGGAATTCTCTCGTTGTTACCTGCAGACTCACCTGGCGTCCCCCCCAGCGCCAACGCTCATCATCTGTTCAGAGGATTCAGTTTCGTGGCCTCGAGTCTGGTCCAGGAGCCCTCGCCGCAAGATCTGCACAAAGCCACGGTCCACCCCATCGTGCAGGTAACCCCGCACCGCCCGACTCCATGGTCTCCGGCAGGTGTGGGTGGTGAGGGTCACACGTGGACGGAAAGCCGGCCTGGGAGCAGGGGTGGGGCGGGGGCGGCTGGCGCCTGGAGCGCCTTCTGCCATCAGCTCCTTTCCCGGCCTCCTGGGGGTCACTGAGTCTCATGGTGACCCGAGCCGTGGCTGTTACCCCTGTTCCACATTCATCCTAACGAAGGGTAAAGAGTTCTGATGAGACTGTCACCGTGGCGTGTCTACAGCCAGAGCCCCCACACGAGTCAGACGGGGCGTGCTCACGGTGTGCAGCGGGGCCAGTACCCCGAGAGAGCGATTTGGTCTGTGGCTACAAACCGACTTTTTGGGAGGTCGATGCAGAGGACGTTTGTTTTATAAGGCTCTTCCCCCCCAGTTAGTGTGACCAGATGCAGAGAATTCTAAGAAGGAATGGCGATCACGTTTTATTTACGGACCAGGTCGGGGAAAATTGGGCGGCATTAGATCTCCACATCGCCTCTCCAGAGCCTTTTGGGAAACCGCGGTGTGTCTGACGTGGGCGCTTGATGTGACAGGATAGACCGTAGCTGGCGGCTTCTCGACCGTGCTCTGAGTGGGGATTCGTGCCTACGGGCCATGCCTGGGACATCACGGGGTCGGATTTACAGGGAGATGACACAGCCAGGCACCGCTCTAGACCCCAGTGTCACAACCACACACGCAGCTTCTGCAGGTCCCCTGCCCCACTGTCTCAGGCTCTCAGGTCTTCAGGGGGATGGGCCCAGGCAGTGGATACCGGGTACTGTGGTCTGAGAATGAAGTTCACAGCCGGAGAGGTCAGGGGAGTCGGGAGGTAGGTCGAGAGCCCTTGCTGACCAGCAGCATGACTCCACGAACCCCTGGGCTCAGTGACCTCAGTGCACCATCTGGAACCCCCCTTCCTGCCCGTGTCCCGTGTGCCTGTGGTCGTGCCCTTGCACGAGAGAGCCCTGACGGCCGTCTCCGCCCTTGGTCTCTCTCCGCAGCAGTTACACGGGAACAACGTACACTTCACCGACGGCTACGAGATCAAGGAGGACATCGGGGTGGGCTCCTACTCCGTGTGCAAGCGATGTGTGCATAAAGCGACGGAGGCAGAGTACGCCGTGAAGGTAAGACTGCGCGCGGGCGTGGGCAGTGCCACATGCGGTCGCCGCGCACAACTGCACTGCTCCAGCGAGCCCTGACCGTGGCAGGCCCTGCTGAGCCGGCCACCTCCCTCCCCGCTCACCGTCTCCCCAGGTCTCCTGTGACGGAGCTCAGTCTGCTTTGGTATGAGGTCATCCGTTCAAAAATTATTTTGCAGATCATGAGTATTTTCAGCTTTATCCCACATCCGAGTGCCGACCACTGCTAGTAGCTTTGTATAAGCGCACTCTGGAATAAAAGCTTTGGGTGCCCGGTATTCTGGAAAATACAGTTGGGGGACAGGCGCAGTGTTTGATGGGAGAGGGGGAAGGAAGGAGGAAGCCACGGTCACCAAAAACTACCTCAAAGAAACGAATAGAGGCATAAACCGGTTAAACCTGTGAAAACCCAAGCGGAGAGCTGGCCATTTTACTCTCCACCTTCCGGAAAAGTCCGTAGTAAGGATTATCTGTAATTATCTAGAATCCCGTCTCTACATAGTACCCTTAGCCTCTGTAATTGTTGCTACATTTGACAGTTCATCTGGAAATCCCAAAGACCAGTTTCTTCAGTTTTCTGGTTGATAAAATATGGACTAAAGCTAAAGCTTCCCGCTAAAAGCACGACCTAACTTTCGCAAAAAGCGTAAACGGCACATTCTGTCCACCAGGGCGGGAGAGAGGCTCTAAGTCCACCGCTTTCCCGCTGAACTGACCGCCGGGTCCGGCCTGTGGCGTCGTCGTGGCCGAACCCAGTGTTGTCTGCAGCACGTGGCCCTGCCCCTGCCCACCCCCCAACACTTGGAGGAGCGTGGAACCTTCCAGCAGGCAGCAGGGTAGAAGGAGCAATCCCGTCCATTGTGATTTTCCCGGCCTCTGAAGAAGTTGTCCAAAATGATGGCTCAGGCAGATGAGCTGTTCTGCGCGACTCCTCACCCAGGCCCCACACTGTGTAGTGAACACAGGTTTTGCTAAAAGGGAGACCCCCAAGAATAGCATGCACACCCACCCAGTGTTTCCTGCACTGAAAAAAAATGCCCAACTCTTTCCGGAAAAGACACCAGCCAAAAAAACCTAGACCAAAGACCGTAGGTCTAGTTTGGGTTGGAAAATGATGGCTTGGGGACACGTGTATATTGAATTCCTCTAATAAGAAAGAACATTTGAAATACGGAGGAATGGTCTGTGGGTTCCACGGACATGCTGTCCGTGTTCAGCCTGCCTACTTCTAGAGCACTGCGCCAGGAGTCGAGGGGAGGCGCGCAGAGGGCTCCCGAAGCAGAGGGGAGGTGTGCAGAGGGCTCCGGGAGCAGAGGGGAGGCACGCAAAAGGCTTCCGGAGCAGAGGGGAGGCGTGCAGAGGGCTCCCGGAGCAGAGGGTGGAGGGTGCACAGTGCTGCCAGCTGTCCAGCCGTCCGCAGGGGGTGTGCACGGGCCCCCAGGTGGTGTCACAAGCAGTCTTCCAGGAGTTTCTAGGACTTGGGTTGCTGAGGAGTTTCGTGTTTCCTCCTCCTTGGGGGAGCTCATGGGAGCACCTGCGAGGCCGCCCCTGGTTCCCCAGGCAGTGCTGTTCCTGGAGCCCGATGTGGGTGTGCACCTGCCCTCTGCGTCTCGCTCGTGTTTCCCGACGGAGGCTTCACAAGCATACAGGGGCTTTGGAGGATCTTTTCTGTCATTCGCACAGAATATCTTTCGGCAGTTTGTCTGGTGACCAGCAGCCATCCTAGAAACAATCGCAGCTTCCAGCGAGCGAGGAAAAACACATCTATTGTCCGGCCGGCTCAGTGACCACGATGCCCTTCTAGAAAACAGCCAGCCTCTGTGCAGTTGATCAGCTGCGTTTTGTGCCTCTGCAAATAAATCTCCCATTGACAGAGGCAGTTGTGTGTTTCCCCGTACTGTCCCCATATCCAGCTCTCTTATAAAAACACCATGTGAATTCGGCTTTGTTCCGTGGCTTTAGCTTGGACCTTGACGCTCTTGTTGAGGCCACGCTGTGCTGGGAATTTCTGAGGCATCTCACCCCAGGGCCCAGAAGCCAGGCGCGTGGCTGCAGCCGGGTGCCACGGGAAGTCAAGCCTTCCTGTTTCTTTTTTGCATGCCTTGAAGTTCCCTGGACAGACAGACCTGGTGGACCTGGCAGGGATCCCCGCCCCCATCCTTGCTGAGACCACAGTGGGTCGTAGTTTATTATCTAGAAGGTATTTAAATTCACCAAGCGCAGGAGGGAGCGCCCGGGACCCAGAGCTGTGTAGGCTGCTGGTTGGAATGACCATTGTCAGTTCACTGGCGTTGGCTTGGATTTCCTTCAAGGGCAACAGGACCGGCAGGAGTTTCAAGGCAAAGAGCTCGGTTTTCAGGATGGGCCCATTTGTTAGCAGAACGTTTTAACGTCCTACAGATCGCTACCCTGCCCTTTGTCAGCATTTTCCAGGTAGAGCGGAGCTGAACTATTCTTTGACCTTTTTCTGCATCAGTTGCCTGGCTGATACATGGCAGAACCGAGAACATGGCACTTAATCGCCGGGCGTGTAAGCCGGACCTCGGGTCGATAAACGCCCTCCAGGACTCAGCTGCTGGAGCTGCACCCACCCTCCCAGCTAGCTCGCGAAGTGTGGGGACCCAGCCATCCACATTCGCGCATGGATGGAAAAGGGTGTCTGTTTTATTTTGAGAAACCGTCTAGTCCGAGCCAGGGGGCCTCCTTGTCCCCTCATCCACCTCCACGGGCGATTCAGAAGCCTCCCCCGAGTCAAGAGCAGAAAAGCGCACGCAGGGACCTGGATGAACAGTAGGACGGTGACCAGAGTGCCGGGGCTCCTGTGCCCAGTCATCATCGGTCTGGCTGGCTTTGCCCCCCTCCGGGGACACTGGCCATGTCTGAGACATTCTGCTTGTCACAGCTGGCGTGGGAGTCACTGCTGGGGTCTAGTGGACAACGGTCAGGGATGAAGCTTGACATCCGGCCCAGGACGGCTCCCTCCCACTGTCCTCAACGAAGAATTACCCAGCCCATAATAACAGCGGTGCTAAAGAGGAGAACTGCAGCCTAAGGCACCCTTCGGGGACGGAGGACGGACGGAAATCTCACAGTAGGCAGCGCGCGCACACAGTGGGCACTCTGTAAGCGTTGGTACAGACTCTGAATCCCTCAGCTTGGTCCCTGTCTTCGGATGAAGCAAACGAGGCTGGACTGACCAGGGTCTTTCCCCGGGAGAGCCCGGCCTCAGGCGGTGAGGCGGGTGCTGCCTCCTCGTCCTCGCGGACCCCACCTCGGGCCGACTCGGCGTGGGGTGTCCCTCCGGTGCGCCCACCCGGTGCTGGGGAGCTGGGTGGGAAAGCCGTTATCTCCTCCCTCCCTCAGGCTCAGTACGGTTGACAGATGCGTCCGCTCTTACACCCCCGGCTGTTTCCGAGGGCAGAGAAGCCCAGCCATCCGGGCGCCACCGAAGTTCGCCTTTGCTCTCCTCGTCGGCCCCAGAAGGCAGGGGGCCGCAGGGAATTGTGGGGGACTTTGACAACCTGACAGAACAGCCCAGACGCCAAGTTGTTTAAGGCGAGAGCGGGACGGCTTACGGAGCGCAGAAGGGAGCTGCGACGGAGCAGCACTTGAACGGGGGAGGTTTGCGGAGCGGGAAGCATCTCTAGTCTTCTCTCGTTCCAGCTACGTGTCCCTTTCCACGAAGCCACTCCTGAAGTGGCTCAACGGCAAACAGCCCAGGGCGCCGGCTTGTGTCAAAGGAAGGGCTCCGAGGAGCCTTGTGTTGGGGGGGGATTCGCTGTGGAAAAGCTGCCTCGCACCCCCAGGTGTCTCAGCCTCTCATAGGCCTCCGCAGGTGCGCCTTGAGACCGTTCCGGAAGGTGTCTGCGAGCGACTCGGTGGGTGCCGACTGCGGGGTGCGGAACTGACGCCCACCCCCGAGGTACCACTTCTGCCGCTTAGATCCTCGGTTTCGAGACACGAGCATCAGTAAACGTCTAAGCAGCAAACCCAACACCTGAAGCTCAGGAGACGGGGAGCGGCAGGCGTTAGACAGAATCCAGACCTGTCGCGACGCGTTGTGCCCTCTTGTGGCCACAGGGACGATGACCGTGAACGGCACTCGCTACCCGCCAGCCCGGAAACGCGCACGTGAGCTCACGTCACCTTCACGACGCGGTGCTGTGATCACCCTCAGCGTCCCCTCGGGGACACACAGACCGAACACCCAGCTCGTAGATGGGGGAGCCGCCCTCCCTCCAGGGGGTGCATGCCCTTGACCTCCGCGGGGCGCTGCCTCTCTGCTCCGAGGGGGGGACCGTGATACCCCCGTCCAGCTCACCCCCTTGCGTGTTGCGACACCCGGGTCCTGAGAGAGCGAGACGGCCACGCCGAGCGGGTGGTTCCGCGGCCTCCACACCACTGCCCCGGAGCCCAAACCCCGCAGCCGCCGGCGAGGCCCCGTCGCCTGTCCCCCCTCCCGCACCTCCCCAGCTGGACTCAACTCCCCACGCCCTTCCCAGGACATGGGAGGCTCCCGCCTGGGGAACGCGTTTGCCTCCCCGGGGCTGGAACTTTCCTCCCCGAGACCCGGGTGCCGGCCACCTCGTGTCCACAGGCCCCTGCTCTCGGCCGGGGTCTCCCTGCCCCCCGCCCCGGCTCCTGTGCTGTCACTCCGTGCTCCGTGGCCCGCAGTGCCTCCTCTCGTGACGCTTCACACCCGACAGACTTCGTGTCTCCTCTCCTGTCCATCTTTCCACCCCCGTTGTGGCCGTGGGTGTCAGGGACAAGTGTTACGTCCAAGGAGCACCAGGAGCCTTTCCTCACATCCCACGTCACTTCCAGCCTTTCCTGGGCTTCTTAACTGTCAGTGTTGACAGGACAGGTGTGGACTGGAGCGTTTCTCGTCTGGGAACACGTCGCGTTCTGCACGGATCCCCCCGTTCGGCCAGCCGACGCCGTCCGTTCCTTTGCGCGGTTCTTTTGTCAGCGCTTTTCCTACGGCAGAGACAGTGGCAGGTCCTGGGCGGGAGCACGGACCTGTTCTCAGGGAACCCACAAGCCAGCCGCCGAGGCGTCTTAGGGATCGCAGGGCCAGAAGCTGCCGCCAACAGCCCGCGTAACTGAAGAGTCTGAAGCTGGATGCGCTTTGGACGTCAGCCCTGGCCGCGGGCCCGTGGTGTCTGCAGACGTACAAGCGGGTCCCCGCGGCTGAAAGGCGCCTGCGGGCCGAGGCACGTTGGGGAGCCGTGGCCAGCTCCTCCTGGGGCAGCCCCCGCGTCAGACACAGCCATGCCTTCTTTTCGGTAGCGCATTTGCGTTGTTCGAAGTCACGTAGTTTGTTGTAGCGACAGACTCGGGTAAAGATGCAGGAGGGTCCTTGGGGCGCCTGGGTGGCTTGGTCGGTTAAGCGGCCGACTTCAGCTCAGGTCATGATCTCACGGTCCGTGAGTTCGAGCCCCACGTCGGGCTCTGTGCTGACAGCTCGGAGCCTGGAGCCTGTTTCAGATTCTGTGTCTCCCTCTCTCTCTGCCCCTCCCCTGTTCATGCTCTGTCTCTCTGTCTCAAAAATAAATAAACGTTAAAAAAAAAAA